GTGGGCTCAAAGGCCGATGAACCTATCCTAAAAAGACTTACTTTTGACCGATTGATATTTTTCTAACCCTACCCGTCAGGGTGGGTTGGCAGGTTAGACCCGCCAACTCGCTACTTCTTTTTTTTAAAAAATTTTTTGTGTCTTTTGTTTTCTTTTAATAAAATTTATTCTAATTCTTAAACATCTAAAATAATATATATAAATTATTATAAATAAAATATGAAATCTAAAGGTCTAAACATTCCAAAATACTACTATAAGCATACATGATACATCATTCCAAATGATTAAATATACATCCCAAATTAAAATATAACAAATCTAAATTAATAATAATACAAACATAATGTTACAAATCACTATCAAGTGCTCAACCATGAGCCACCATTTAATATTGATATAGTTCGAAGAATAATATGAAGATATGAAATTATTTGGTTAAGCTTCATAAGTAGAATCACCTTTTTTTTGCTCAACTAATTTTGCCACAAGTAAAATTCATAATACAAAGTAAAAGATATATTACATTATGATAATTTTAAATAATAAGAATGAGATAAAGGACTAAAGGAGTAAACATAATGATATTTGAGGGAAGAAAAAAAAAATTAAAAAATAAAATAAAACGGCTCGGCCCACCAACCTTGCGGGTTAGCCCGCTACAAGTTCGGTCTTAGCGGTTATGGATTCAAAAGATCTGTTTTAAAACAAACATGATTTTCATCAATCCAACCCCCACTTTTTGGCAGGTTGAGCCCGCGAGTTCAACCCATATTACTGACTCTGCTTGTACTTGGTGTATTTGTGTTTTGTGTATGCAAAGCAATCTGTGGGTTCTTGATTTTTTGTCTCAAAACAAAAGCCTTACCATGTCCTGCGTTTTAGCAAATCGTTATTCTTTTATTTGGTTTTTTAGTAAGCGAGGAAGCTTATTCATATTTAAGTTTAGGTGTCATGATTTATGGAATTTCACACAGACCAACCTTATCAAAGATATGCTTGTCTTAAAGATAAGCTTCTTCATCTAATCTAAGTACAATTAGAAAAAGTAGAGAGGACTTTATTTTTATGTTTGCTTTAGGTTATATAGAGAAAGTATTGTTATCTTAATATGTGTAGAAGTTTTTTAATTATTTTTTACAATGTTTAGAAATAGATTATGGTCTTTATGAATAAATTCTGAATGTTTGTAATTAATATTTACATCTTGATGGAAGAAGCTTCCTGTACATTTCATTTTACTTTTTTTAATAATTGAATTTAATAAACTAAATCCTATTTGTTTAGTCACTTCTCTTTCAAGTTTCAATACAATAAGTATGGTCACAGGAAATTAAAATTAACTTTAAGAAAATAGACAATAAAAGTAGAAATATATTATTATAACTTCTATATTGACCAGCTTCCCGTGCATCGCACGGGGAAGCACAATCTAGTTTATCTAAAAGCTCATCATCTTATTAAGTATCAGAAAAATGTTTTTCACTAATTAAAAAACGATAATGATAGATTTTCATTCATCTTTGTATTAGAGATATTACTACCTCCGGTACTTAATATAAGACCCTGTTTGACTTTTATTTTGATCCTAAATATAAGACCCCAATCGATTTTGTCTCTCATATTTATACATTTTTTTTAAAGTAGCCTTTCTAATAATAGTAGTCTTAGTCAATATACTTGATTAGTAAGGATATTTTAGGAAAGACAACACCTATATAGGACAAATAACTAACTCAACTTACTTTCTTAATCTCATCAAATTAGTCAACTGGCTCTTATAATTAGGACCGGAGGTAGTATTATCCTTTTTCGGGATTGAGTTCAGGATATAAACAGTCAATAGTAATAACTAATTTCCTAGCATTATGGACGGAGATATTATGGTCATTTGATCATTTTTCCATTTTATTTTCACATTATTTCCGTCTAATCAGACGCACAAAAAGAATTGTGATCCCAATTCTCTTGCATGATATCAAACAGAATTGTTTTATTTCATCCAGAGTAATTTACGCTCATGTCCTCACACGTATAATTTTTACGACTCAGGCAAAAAAATATAAGGTAAAGATATAATTTTATCCTTAATTTTATTTTTCAAGTACATCTATCACTCTGATTTTTAATTGGTACAATTTTACCTGCAGTCTTTCTATTTTGGTGCAATTTAAGTAAAATTATATGTTTAAAAAATTAGAGTATTGAGTGCACCATAGAAATAAGACCAGTACTAAAATTACATCTTTACCTAAAAGTATTTACATCATTTCACATTTATAAAAACCACGCAGGCTTTAGAGTTAACTTTTTGCAAACAATTATATATTCTATTATAAACACGATTAATTTTGTATTATTGTTGCTGTATTATTATATGAAGCCCAAAACTCATTGACATCATAAATCACGCATGCAACTGAAAAGCTGGTTGAGCAACCAATTATAAAATTATTTTATGTTAATTTGTATTGCCTTTGCATCTATTTAATTATAAGTTCATGTCTTTTTGTGCTTTTGGAGCCGCCGGTGAATCAGTGAAGCTTTTATGTAGTTTAATTAAAAAAATTAAACATATTTATTCGTTTTAAAATACTACCTCCGGTCCTAAATATAAGAGCTAGTTGACTAATTTGAGTAGATTAAGAAAATAAACTAAGTTAGTCATTCGTAATGAACATATGTTATATTTCCTAAAATATCTTTGCTAATCGAGTTTGTTGCTAGAACTACTATTACTAGAATAACTATCTTAGAAAAAAATGAATGTATAGACAAAGTGAATTGAGGTCTTATATGTAAGATCAAAATAAAAATCAAAGAAAATCTTATATTAAGAATCAGAAGTAGTAAGATTTAGGGTGAGATGTCACTTATCAGTAAATTTGTTGGTCTAGGATGGACAATAGAAAAAAATGGAATATTGCCAAAAGAAGATCAACCGTGAACCATCTTCGCCCATACATGACAATAAATTTCCAGCAATATCAAACTAAAATTACTCCGAAAGCTTAATCAGAAACACGTATTAAAGATTTAAGTTATTTGTGAGGATTGTCTAACAACAGAGAGGAAATTTGGATTTTTGATGTGTACATCACTAATAGATACGAAGATACGAGGCAATGAATTTTGATGGATTGAAACTGGGATGAGATTGTGATTGAGATAAGTAGTAAAAGTGGAATTAAGACTTTAAAACTATGTTTGGTAGGGAGTAACATTAGGATAGAATCTGTATTAATTTTCTTTTATGATAGAATTAGTACAAATTCTGATCTTTCAAGTTTGTTGATATTTTGGTTTTAGTCCCTTAAGTTTCAAACCATATATTTTGGTTTCTTAAATTTCTTTTCATTTAAAGTATTAATCCTTATAATCTAATAAAAATTTGGACTATTTTACTCCTTAAGGGACCAATACCTATTATTTAAAATTTGAAGGATCAAAACCATAATGATGAGAACAAACTTGAGGGATAAAAATTATATTAACCTTTTATAATAAATAAAAAATTAGCAAAATACTACAATAATAAAAACAAAAATTCTATATATTCACTATAGATGGCAAAAAAAAAACTACTATCATTATGTGTTCATGTAATCATATTAGGGGAAATTTTAAAAAATCCTCATTAAAAATTTTATCAGTAAAAAATTGATAATTTTCTATACGTAAAAAATTATTATTATGAAAATTATGGACACATATAGAATACCCCCGGGAATACTCTAATTCATATCATTCTTCACGGTTTTTTAATAGAGGATTTTTCTTTTTTTCCCTAATTTTTCCTAATACTTATTTATGTAAAAATGAAATAATATTTATTATCTAAAATTTAATACCACTAATTTTTATATATTAAAAAAATATACTTTGATAAAATGGTAATAATCATGTGCAATCGCGGGGAGTTGTACAGCATATGATCAAAAGAGAAAACGCTACATAGAAAGCTTCTCAAGTGGGGCCTAGATGAGAGCCCAACTGAGAAGCCAGAGTCCAACTAGAACCAAAATAAACAAACAACCCAAACAAGAATTAAAAAAACCACTAACAGCAAAACCCAAAAAGACAGGCTTAGAAGAAGCCCAGGCGAGGATCAGCATAACAACCGGCCATATTTCTTTGTACATTCTTTTTTCTTTTAATAAAGATATTTCTGTGTAAATTCTTACTAACATCTATGATGAAAAAACACTAGCTATCAAATATATTTCCACTGTCATATTTTGGGAAAGGAATGCAAACTTAAGGAGCAAGGAGATTGGCCAACATTACCAAACATTGGTTTAATGTTTTTAATTGAAAAAACGCGGTTAAAAATGGTTCTCAAATCTCAATACAAGCTAAGAAACATGTTATCCTTTTCAAAAATAGGAAGACAAAAATCAAAATGGTTCCATAATAGAGATTTATGGTTAACTTGCTTAAGACTATGAAAAAAAAAATTGGGAGAAACTTAAATTAAACACGGAAGGATTGTGTTGGAGAATGGGGGGATTTTCTGACATTTATTCAATATATCTAAAGTTAGTTTTTTTTTTTTAATAATACACCAAAAGATAATAATTTAGTAAAAAATTTCTAACCAAAAACAAAATTTTTTGATAATTCAAGAACCTTAGACCCTTGCATCCAAAATTTAAATGAATTAAGTATTGGGAGTTCATTAGAGTTAGAATGTGCTTTCAAGCTCAGAAGAGTTATAGAAATACTTACAAATCGTCCACTAATAAAATCACATTGACAATGAAATTCAAACTTATGATTTTATGAATTATGAGTTGATTTTTTATCAATTAGATTAACTTTTGATGGTCGAAAAAGCATTTTTATTCACTAACTTTTCAAAAAAGAAAATCCATATAAAAAAGTCCTTTCTGAATTTTTTTTTTAAAAAAATTCTGGGATTGATTATCATTAACATCTTTATGTGGTCCTAATTTGTGATTTTCCCGTTCAAGCAGGCCCTTCAGCCTTCTTGAAGTCTTCGATTTGAGGCAGACATCAGACAGAGGGACACGCATCGCCACCTAAATCGTCGTTCCCTCACTCACTCAGCAATGAAGCGAAAGAAATGGTCCGAACTCGAAGAGCAGACTCTGCTCTCGAAATACTCGGAGCTGCTCAACTCAGGTGCCTTAGCTAAGCTCAGGACCCGCGAGAAGAAGTTCAAGCCCGTTGCTGATCATGTCAACTCCGTCCACCATCTTCAAGACCCTGGCACCTTCCCTTTCAAGTGGTCATGGCGCGACGTATCCATCAAGGTCCAGAACATGCGCCATCAGTACTTGGGCGTCAAGCAGAAAATCCGAGTCTCCAAGGACGAGTTCAATTGGAAAGACGGAGAGAACCACTGGGAGAATTTCCTGAAATACAAGGAGGTTTTCGGCGATGTGGAGCTTGATCCTAGGGGGAAACGGATGACCGATAATATTGACGTTTTTGGGGATTGCGGAGATTTAGATTTCGGGATCGATGCCTATGATTCAGAGGAGGAAGAAGATGAGGCGGAAGGTGCTGGTGATGATGATAATACTGATGTGGATGACGTGGGTGAAGAAGGTGTGGGAAGTGAGGGTGAGTTTCGGGGTGAGAAGGAAATTGCTGAAGTGGGTCTTCCTCCGGTGAAGATGCTGAAGAGGGGTTTTGGTGTGTACAGGAGATTGGGTTCCATAGGTGCACAGGTTTTGGAATTGAGGGATGCGATGATGAAGAGAGAGGAGAGGAGAAGGGAAAGGGAGTTTCGAAAAGAGAAGGTAGAGTTGGAGAGGGAAGCCAAGAGGAAAGAAGCTGAGTTCAGAAAGGAGAAACGAAGGAGTGAGAGGGAGGAATGGTTGGAGAATAGAGAATTGGAATTGGAAGAGAGACAATTGACCTGGGCACGAAAGGAGTTTGAGAAAAGGGTAAGGTTAGAACGAGAACTGAACGAAGAGCGAAAATGGAGGAAGAGGATGGAGGAGAAGATGGAGGAAGAGGAGATGGAGTGGAGGGAGAGGATGGTAGCTTTGCAAGTTGAACATGAAAAGCAGATGATGCAGATGCATGCTGATGCGTGTCAGAACCAAATGCAGATTCTTGGAATCACGGCTCGACTTATTTGTCAATTTTTTGGTTCAGCAAGTGATGCATTAGGTGGTGGATTGGGGGCCTTGCCTCCTCAAGTATTGCAGAATTTGCAGCATACAGACGGATTGGGTGAAAATGTTAAACCTGATGCCAATTCGCCTTCAGAATTTATGTAAACTGTACCTTTTTAAGTATGAACTCTTCATACGCACTATGTATATAGGTCGGGGCAACTGATCTTTCCAAGATCTGGAAAGACGGATTCTTGTGAACGCAGTTACTTAATGTGGGAAATGGGAATAATCTTTCCAGATTCATTCAATTTCAGCTTTGCCTTTACGTTTTAAGGGGTGATCCAACTTGCTAGCTGCCTGGACTGATCTTTCACAAGTGTATCACGGTTTACTATTTTCTTGGAAGGATGTCTTCAGTTATGGGGCAGTGTAAGGGAAAGGTTGATCATATCCAGGCTTAAATCACAAATGGCTCCAAAGAAGAACGACCCAAGCTTGAGGTTCATGAGTATGTCACAATTTTTATTTTTTAATACATTATTTAATTAATGGAAAACTTGCCAAAAGAACAATTTATTAATAACCATGCAATTTGAATGAAGAAGCTACCTCTTTTTTACGATTCACTGTTTTATTGAGATGTCTGGCTAGTGTCTGTGAAATGCATACGTTGTCTGGATTTATGTTGCCCTGTTATGTTTCACTGATGAGAACGGTACCGCGATTGTTCTGCCACCATGCTTTGTAAATGTTTCAGCATAATTGTTGAGACCCTTTAGTTGAAATGAAACTTTGCAGGGGAGCTGATTGTCTTGTTTGTCCTTGTAATTATTGGAAGTGGTTTTCTTCCTTTATATTAGCTCTTTGATAATTCTCGGACGTGTGCATTGATGTGAAGCTTGTAAAAATAACGAATTGTTCAGAAGTATGATGAAATGCATGAGATATTTGTCTTTCATCGAATTAGGCCAAACATCTAGGGTATACAAGTTGGTATACAAGTTGGAGCTTGACTTTAGAATTAATGCTGGGGAAAAATTTGGCATGCTTTTTTTTGTTGAGTTGTATTATAGGACATGGCAACACTCGAGTGATAACTAACCACAACGGGAGTGGCAATCTTTTTGCCTTTGGTTTTGTGGATAAAAAAGAAGATTGTCACTGTGAGACGATTCTGTTAGCTGGTAGGACGATATTATGCTCCCCTGACCTTGTTATGGTATATTGTTAGTTTGGGCATCTTGTATATGCTGCTAGGGAAGCCACTTTTGAACGATTTATCTTGGAATTTTGCTAGTGATGTTGCTAGGAAGCTATGAAATTAGGGAAATGGAACTTCACACGCACTTGGGACCTGCAATAGTTCTTTAATTCCCAAAGCGTCTGTTTTGTTTGGCAGATTATCAAAATGTAGGTATTTCGTGATTGACATTTTGATTCCATCGCTTGTGGCGGTGTGGCAGATATTGCTTATAGTAATAATAGAGTTTGGGCAATAGAAGTGCTGTTGTTATGGATAAATTACATTCAGGATCGTGATCTGTGATTGTGCAAACATGTGTCATACAATAGACAGCCAGGCAAACTGAAGCTATCTGATAATTTGACCTTCTTGACTTCTTGTGTTGAGCTCTATAATATCAGCTTTCTCTGAGCTTGTACAGCATACGCAGTTATGTCTAAGGAAAGCTCCTACAGTGATATTCAGGGAACCTTTTGATGTTGATCTCATTGTTTAAGTTCGTTTACTGAAGCTTTTAGGCTACGAATGTAAGCAGTTGAATGATCCAAGACTGCAGTGAAATTAGAGGAGTTATCTATCCAGACTGCTACCCAACACGATGTAGGCCCCCCCCCCCGGGACAGAACAACATGTGTAGAATTGAGTGTTCACTGTTTTTTCTAGTATTGAAGTGCAGTAAGTCGGTGGTTCTTGATATTTCCCCACAAATAATTAGGATATACAGGAACGTTCTAGATTGTCTATTAACGAGCTCCTCATATTGACACCAAGATTTGAATATACATCTTTATGAGATATGAGTTGCATGCTTTGATGGACTAATATTTGTGGGTGGTGAATATTTATTATTAATTAATGGCATTTATTTTTCTCTTCTCATATTATATTTTGAAGCTTTGGACTGTTATTTTACTCACAAAAGGACAGAGAAGAGGGAGCTTGAGGGGTTTGAGAGGGGAAGAAACATGAACAAATGAAGGTTGAAGACTGGGAAGATTGCTGTGAGGTAACGCTTAGTTACCAAAAAGTATACTTGGGATCAGTACTATACATTTTGTTGAGAAGTACCAAAATTTGATTCGGTCATTAGTTTTTTCATTACTTGTATATTCTTTCTAGAGAAAACGACTTTGCAGGTATGTATACTTGCTCTCAATTTCTAATTTGATATTTATACCTTTTTTTTTCCTTGATTAAATTGTTTAACTTTGCTTTGTTAATACCGCTAACGCCTGTAACTATGATCTGTTAGTACTGTTACCCTTGTACAGGGGTTAACAATAGTAATAGAGCAAAATTGAATTATTCGATTAAGAGTACCAAATTAAAAATTAAAAAAAGTATAGGCATATGTTAAGTGGTTTACTTTTCTTTTATTTTAGTTTGATAATTAGCCATTATATGCTTTGGACTGTTAATCTTGTGGCATTTTGGAAATTATCCTATTTATATAATTTTTTTAACCAGAATTTTGTGATTTAGAGAAGTCATAGAGGAGAGATGAGTTTCTTCTAACATTGCACTATTGCAGCATGTTGACCCCATTATCGCGGCCATGTAAAGGGGTGTGTGTAATGGACGTGATAATAGATGAAAGCTGGATTTAAAAATTGGAGAATCGGATCACATTCTAAGGTAACCCTACAAGCTAGCATGATTCAGTCTCATCTCTAATATCAGTCAATATCAATTTTTGTTTGGTGATACAATATCAATATTTTTATAAAATTGCAATAAAGTGTAGAAAGTTGAATTATTTACAAAACTATTGTGAATGGTATAGTTCATTTTGTGTTCTGTGTAAATGTCAAATGTGTAGGATTCACGCTAGTTTTGTATGAAAATTTTGACCTTTCTAGGAAGTTATACTTTTATCATATTGATTAAAATATTGATATAAAATGTTAAATCTACAAGCAGCTACCTTTTTTTAATAAATTTTATACTATGTATTCGATTTCATATATAAGATGTATTGTTCACAAGTCATCAATGAGGCTTATATTGAGCTTCGTGCATCTCTCTCTGATGTTATTGTTATTTTCTTCTCTTTTCTGATGGAATATTTTTTTCCTCTATGTCTTTTTGAATTTTCTATCAGGTTATTATTTCTTACATACACTGTATAAAATAATTTTTATTAGTATAAATATGATAGGTTGATTATAAATATTGACATGTTTTTTTTTTGCTAGATATAGGTATTTTCTTATTAAACATAATTTTTTTGAAATATTATCGGATGCTAAATATGAATACTTGTTACGATGAAGATTGGAAACTAATTTTTTTTTTAAAATCCAACTCGTGGTTAAATGTTGACATGTTGATTAAAAGAAAATTAAAAAACTTGGTCAAATCTAATGCCAAACCCATCTTGGGTTTCAGACTTTCTGTAGTTTTTGAACAAATTGGGTAGGCTAAAATTCCACCTAAATTCAACCTATTTAGACTCCCTCTTTTTCTCTCTCCCTCTCTTTTAAATGAGGACTGAATATCAATTAATCACAAAAGGGAAACAAAATCATTGTCCAGTCGGGTCTTCATTCATCAACTTATGATGAAATATGATCAAAGACGCAATAAATTTTTTTTTTTTTCTATTTTATGAGCTAACTTGGTCAGGTGATCAACCGCGTTGTTATCTATTCTATGACTATGATCAACTACCATCCCAATCTCTACGAAGAAATAATCTAGCTTTATTAACAAGATCTTTAAAAAGGATGTGTTGAAGCACACCTCCAACTCTCTCTCTCTCTACATACGTGTGGGGATAGCAATGGATCTTTTTTTTTAAAAAAAATCCAAATTAGATTTATCATTTTTTTTTTTTTTGCTAACGATCTATTATTCTTTTTCAATTGATAGGTAACGAATTTGTTTGAAAAAGTCAAAAACCCGCTTAACCACGTCTAAACCACTTCATGGCGAATTTAATTCTAATTTCAGAAAACACAATAAACTAGATATGTCTAAATTATGCAAATGAGCCATACTATTTATAAATTATTATACTACTCCGGTCCTTAATATAAGACCTCGTTTGACTTTTATTTTGATCCTAAATATAAGACCCCAGTCGACTTTGTCTCTAATATTTATTTATTTTTTCCAAGATAGTCCTTCTAACAATAATAGTTCTAGCTAATATACTTAATTAACAAGGATATTTTAAGAAAAACAACACATATTTATTACAAATAACTAACTTAACTTCTTTCCTTAATCTCCTCAAATTAGTCAACAAGCTCTTATAATTAGGACCGGAGGTAGTATATAATATTATTCCTTATAAATTATATATTATGTGTTTTTATATTAGTGTTGATCGAAACGACAACTAAACCCATAAAAATTGGGACAAATAAGTTTATTATGCCATGAAGCTTTTTTCTCACATTTTACAAAGTTTGAAAAATAAATTATAAATTTGTAATATTTATGACCTGTACATGGTACAATTTGTCAAATATTTTATATTTGAATATTGATATTTATCAGCTCATATCACATCATGAAGGTAAAAATGTTAACACCTTTATGTGCTACGCACAACACCATAGAGTAAAAATTGAAGCGCCAGAGGCACTGGTTGAATAATTATCTCATTGCTTGTAAGGGTTGGCACAAAGTAATATTTTTTTTTACTAGGAATATGATATCACAGCCAAATAACTAATTTAATAATATTAAATAACTTATTTAAATTAGTTATTTATAATAAATATATGTTAATTTTTTTAAATTATTTTTTTAATCATCTGTATCGAAATTATCGCTTAGTTAGAACTCCTTATAATCAATAAAGATTTTTTAAAAAATTACAAATTTAAGAAATAGGATAGATATATTTAGGAGTAAATTTAACTCTTTTAACTAATCTTTATATTAAGGATAGGAAGTAATAGTATTTTTTTTTAAGTGGTGGAAAATGTTGCCAAAAAAACATAACATAGCCAAAATAAATCAATTTTTTCTTCTTCTTTTTTTTTCCAGAAAAACCAAGTTTGTGTCTGTCAGGGGCTCCACAAATGTACTGTCACATCTATTTTACGCACATTTAAAGTGAAAAGAGTGTTGAGTGTGTTTTATATGGGAGCTATTTGGCTTTACTATTGGTTCCTTCATCCTACATAGGAACTTATGAGATAAGATCAGCAAGTATCGATATATAATTGGTCCAATATTAAAAAAATGAAACAGAAAAATTGAATTAAATGTTCATCTGTGTGGTTGAATTGTCCCTTTCACGTACTGTACGGAGCAGTTCATGTTCTTGTCAGGAAATGTAAGGCTCATTCGTGTTCATCGGATGATCCTCCCCACTGGCCATTCCCTAAATTTCTTCGTCTCACGCCATATCAACAGATATATATGTTTGGGTGGATAAGCGTGAAAGGATACATAAAGCGAAGCAAAACTGTTAGTTATATGATATGAAATATCTGTATATGACCAACCATTCCCCCTGAAACTGCGTGGTTCGTTTCACTGTATGCATTAAGATTGTTGTATCCCTATAGCAAGCTGCTCAAAAGAACTATCTTTTATTAGCTAGCTGGAAGTTCTATTTAGTTTTAAATATTATTCTGATACTTAATATAAAAACTAATTATAAATTAAATTTGGTCCTAATTAAATATAAAATTTTAATTTACTTTGTTTTTTTAAATTTGTAATTCATTCTCGAAAATACTCTTATTGATTACGCACGTCAAAGGATTTCCATCTAAGAGTAATCATGATTAAAAATGATGTTTTAGAAAAATCAACTCATATTTATACAAATAACTAATTTAACTAATTTTCTTAACCTATTCAAATTAGTTAATTAGTTTTTATATTAAAAATTGGAGATAGCATAAGATCATCTGATTCCACTTTATCTCAACATTTATTCATTTTGCTCATAAGTAATCCTTATATATGGTAATTACATATGTTAGGAAATTTTCATTAAGGGATATAGTTTTAATGCCCATGATTAATTTGTTCTTACTAATTTCATAATCTTTTTATTGTTTTTGTTTCCTATACTTAATATCGCGGTTAAAATATAAATATTTTGGAAAAGTCAAAAGTGACACAAATTTTAATATAACAATGTCAAATAATCAACTTTTTTTTAAAAAAAAGATTCATTATTATTGTTAATAAATACCACCTCCGGTCCTAATTATAAAATATCGTTTGTAGTCTACAAATAAGGTCTTATAATTACAACAGGAGGTAATAGTCAATAAAAATTATAATCAGTCAGTTACTAAAATATTACCACTAATCTTTACTGTAAGATCACACTTGCACCCTCCAACAAACTAGATTTTATATTAAGCAACCCACATTAATTGTTAGATCTTTCCGTTTAACGCCTTATGCTATTTGAATAGCGGTTCGCCAGAGCTAACTTTCCTCACAATAATAGCTGAGATTTCGTGCACATCTATAATGACGTGCAAATTATTTTTTATGGTCCAATATAAAGACGTGTAAATTAAGTATGTACTACCTCTTGTCTATAATATATAAGCTAGTTGACTAATTTGAGTAGATTGAAAAAATTAGATAAATTAGTTGCCTCTCTTAAAATATCCTTACTAATCAAGTGTATTAGTTAGAACTACTATTTGATGAAATATTTAACATGTGCAACCACTATAAGGACTACTTTGAAAAAAAAAAATCAATATGAGAGACAAAGTGAATTGAGGATCTTATATTCAGGACCAAGCTGAAAGTCAAACCAACTTTTATATTAAGAACTAGAGGTAGTATATTTTATTAATTTGAACTACTTACGTTTGATTTAGATGACATTATTTTTATATTCTAATTATAATTTAAATTATCATATTTTTCTAGAAAAAAATTCTAAATGATTTAGATTTTTATAATTCATCGACGTAAGGACAAGTCTTGTAATTACAAAAGTATTTATAGATTAGTCGCTTTATATTAGATGCAGGATTTATATTTTAAATTTCAAATTATCATATTTTAAAAAATAATAATAAAATACCAACTACGTGGTCTGAGTCATCCAGATCTTCATGGAGGAAATAAGATAATCTTCATTTAAGCCTTTATATATGATACACTAACATCACAAAATAATCAGAAATGAACTGTTTTTTTCCCGCATGCTTATGGCCATACCAACATGATAGTTATCTTGAACACACAATAATTTATAAATTTCTGGAATTAGGAAATGAAATGATACTTGAGGGTCTGTTAGATTCTCAGCCAGGTGCTTCCTCAGTTTCGGTAACTGCAATGGCAAATGTTTATAGTATAAGTCATCTGAAAAATTCCATGAGGGATTCAATTTCATCCTTTTCTGATGTCAAAAAGCTGGTTTGAGATCAGAAGAAAGTAACATGTTACGAACTCAGACACACACACACACACAAAAACACTGCTCATGTCCATTTTCAGTACTTTTTCTGCAACGTATCGATGTCTATACGTACATCAGGATCAAGACTGGGCACTTTGGAACAGGTGAAATTAATAACTTGATAATAATTGATAATCGTTTTACTTAATATAGAAGAGGTCAAGCCACAGAAGAAGAAAGTGTTCGTCCTGGATGGTAAGATTATCTGATAGAGAATGTGAGAAAGAGAAAAAGACAGTGACATGGGAAATTGTAAAAGAAAAGAGGAGCTGACCAGTTACTCTGCTGCCATCTTTCATCTTTTCGAAACATCTGTAAAATCAGAAAAGGGCACGTTCATCCATGTATATATAGAACCCATAAATATACACGGTTCTCAATATTGGACGTCAAGATCACTTTGAAATATCTTTTTTTTAGTCTATAAACTGTGAGCTCAATCCTAATTTTTTTTAATAATACATCTAGTACGACAATCTTATTTTTTAGTACATTTAACACGTATATTTTTTTTTTTTAGTTATATCTAGCATTTTAATCTTTAAGGTATTAGATGTACTGAAATTAAGATTAAGATGCTGGATGTATAAAAAAAAAAATCAGGATACATGTATCACAAAGAAGACCAGGTGCTGGATGCATCTTTATCCAAAAATAAATTAAAAAAAAAAAGGCATTAAAAGAGGCATGGGACTAGACTCAAATGTCCATAACAATAATCTGGTTTAGGCTACACACCAAGTAGGATGGATTTGGAACGCTAATAATATGGAGCATTCTGCATCTTCGAACGTCTTTTTTTTTTTTAACCTTTTATTGCGTGCAGTTTGAAAAATGGTTGAAAAGAAAAATCGTTGGAGGTGTTTTAGATATTATATAAAAAAAGGTTGATATTGGATGCCCCAATGAAGATGGTATATCAAACAGTTTAAAGTCTTCTGAAAAAATGTAAAAGAAGACCGGAGAGAGCATTTAATAAAGTTATTAAATGTGATCTTTTTAGTTAATAATTTATTTAGATATTTGGTTATTATTGATATAGCATAAGGAGAGTAAGATATGTTATTATTATTATTGTTGTATGTAGTTCATGCGTTGGTTTTTCCAAGTGGATAGTTCTTATGTATTTCAAATGATATGAGGGAGTGGGAAAAAAGGAAAAAGAAAATGAACCTGTTCATATATTATGAAAGGATAAAACTTGTTATCCTTAGATACAACTAGCTGGTGGATGGAAACTGCTGGTTCTGATATCAAGTTTCCCTTTCTATCTGTTTCTGATATTTTCATACATTAATTTAGGATCACAAAACAACGGAACATCATTTTCCTATACCCAGAAAAAAATTTAAGGAAATGAGATTTCGACGTATCCTCATACATATCTGAACCTATGCTTCTCTGTTCTATAATAATCTATCACCATCTATAAATTTTATTGGCTGTAAACCACATAGCAAACTTAGAAAGCTGGATATTTCCTAATTGCTCCCAAGGTGATGATGAAGAACTTTCTAAAATTGGACATTATAATTTACTGGTTCATGTTCTTAATACAAGACTAGTTCACTAATTTGGGAGATTAAAAAAGTTACTAAATTACTTTAAAATATTAATATTTATCATTTTTATTCAAACTAATTTGTCTCACTTATAAATTGATATATAATATAATAATATATATAAGTATTTTAGAAAGAATACGTAACATATACTATAATTAAGTAATTTAGTAACTTACTTAATCTTCCCAAATTTTTACTTTTATATTAAGGACCGGAAGTAGCATATCATAAAATGGGACTTGAAAATAACATTTGAGTAATTGTAATTAATTAAATTGTATAAGAGTTATTTCCTAGTCAAAGTTTGGTGAAGTTATTAGAGGAAAGTTCCTGTTAGCTCTAGAATTATATAAATACCCCACATAACATGAAAATCCAACTTTATTCTCAGATCAACAAAATCAGAAATAATATACTCCTCCGGTCCTTAATATAGGACCCAATTCTTGAGTTAGTCTTGGTCCTAAATATAAGACCCATTTCTCATATTTATCAATTTTCTCTAAATTACCCCTATGGATACTCCTTCAACCATAATTAAGTATAAGAGAAATGAGGGGTATTAAGAAAGATGACTATGGTATTTTAGGGAAAATGTGTCACTTTTCTTATAATCAACTAACTTACCTAACTTCCTTAATCTAATCAAATTAGTTAAATGGGTCTTATATTAAGGACTGAAAGAGTATATTTTTTATGAAGTTTGATAAATGATCAGATCATTCAAAAGGTATAAATTAGTGCGATATACATACACCTTAGCCCTGAGTATATATTAATAAGCATTATATTATTTCCTCAATTTAATTTACTCCAAAATTTTGCGTAAAAACTTACAATTAACTAACATTCCCTTATCGTTGAAAAATAATTTGTGAGCCCTTCTTATTCCTGAAATTGAATCATGGAAATTGACCAGTAACTAAAGTTCAATGTCATGAAAGCACTTTCTCAAAGGCAGATCACAAATTGAAAATGACATTTACTTGACAGTAAGCAAGCAGTACAGAGCCCACCTTATCCTTTAATTTCCGATATTGAATTTTACTCACTTGAGTTTATCCACGACATATAATTCATTATAAATTATAATTTTTTTCTCATTTATCATTCACTGCAATATCAAAATATTTTAAAATTATAAAATCATGAAATAATTACATATAATACCACGACAGATATTAAAGAATAGGGAAAATATGAGTATACGGATTAAAAAATATAGATTGCTATGCCTATGAATTACATTTTGTTATATGAATATATAAGTACAAGGAATCCATTTTGTGTCACAACACAACCTGATGTAAAATAAGGAGGGAGGAGGGGAAGAGAAAGAGGGAGAAAAATAATAATCACTCAAGCCTTAATTAATCTAATTTTTCAAAGATTAAAATAATCAGATAATTTAGACGAGTTATTCATATTAGTTTTATTGAAAATAAATAATAATTCTGAAAAAGATAATTAATAATGAGAAAATCCAATTAAATCTTAATTAACTTAAGGCATATTCTAGATATCTTTATTCAAATAATCCTGATATAAAACAACCCTAATTATATATAATTTGAAGAATAATGTATTATTTGTTTGAATAAGTTTGAAAAAAAAAATCCAGAACAGTGAGTAAGCCATGCATGCACCCACGCGGGCTAACCCACCGGTCCAAGTCAACCAACCCCCTCTAAGCCCTTCCCGACATGCATATATCTACCCTCCTCTTATGCCCTTCTCTCTCTCTCTCTCCCTCTAAAGCCACAGCCATAGTTTTCTGGATTTTTGTTTACATCTTGAATGCCAAAAACACAGAGAGGGGGAGAGAGAAGCTTGTTGCTAGCTAACTGCAGATATAGAAAATTAGGAATGAGAAAGCCTTGCTGTGACAAAGAAGACACCAACAAAGGAGCTTGGTCTAAACAAGAAGACCAAAAGCTCATCGATTACATCCAAACCCATGGCGAAGGTTGCTGGCGTTCCCTTCCCAAAGCTGCAGGTTTCACCTCATATGATACTTTTTCCTTTTGTTTTCTCCATCTTCTCTCAAATTTTTTCATTCACTCTTTTTTCTCTGCATTATATATGGCTCAAGTTTCATTTCTCCCTGCGGGTTTCGACTCTGTGAGAGAGAGAGAGAGAGAGAGAGAGAGAGAGATCCTTTTAAAGAAACAATATTTCAAGTTAGCTCCTTTTCTGGGGATATCTAATCTAAGAACTGCTAATATACTGGCCTTAAAATCTCAGAACTTATTCTACTACACAAACACACACCATGTTATGTACTGAGAAATCAAAGGAATCATCACTATATATATATATATATTTAATTTCCCTGTAATATTCATCTCAGGGCTGCATCGTTGTGGAAAGAGTTGCAGGTTGAGATGGATAAATTATCTGAAGCCAGATATCAAACGGGGAAACTTTGCCCAAGACGAAGAAGACCTCATCATCAAGCTCCATGCCCTCCTCGGCAACCGGTACACACACACACACACACTTACAAAAATACACACAAGTCTCTAATCCGATACAAAATCTTAAATTAATATTAAACATAAATTTCATTTGGTATATGTATCTTACCATATTTACTTATCTTACCCATAAGAGTAATTTTCCTGACAAATACATCACTGTTAATTAGTTGGCATACACATATAACTAGATGTGGGTCCATATGAGTTTAAAGAAACAAGTTCCTAATAGCTTTTGTGTACTATATACTGTTAGGTGGTCCCTGATAGCTGGAAGGTTGCCTGGGAGAACAGATAATGAGGTAAAGAACTACTGGAATTCTCACATCCGCAGGAAGCTGATAAAGATGGGGATAGATCCTGATAACCATAAGCTTTTTCATCTTCATCACCAATGCTTTCCTCTTCTTCATCGTCCTCGTACTGATGTTGATAAAGATGATGATGCCCTACCTGTTTCTTCTGCTGCTGCAACATCCGCCGACTCCTTCAAGGAAAAACCTAATTCTTCCAACAACTTGAATCTTGACCTCACTATTGCTTTTCCTTCTGGCACACCGAACCCAAACTCTGCTGAGTCATCCCACAACAATAATACTGCTAAGGACATGGATCAGAGCCAATCAGCTCCAACCCTTCCTCTATTTAACTAGTTATATATATATATATATATATATATAACTCTTGGAATTATTAATGTCATGTTTAGTTTGTAAATTGTAATTGAAAGTTCAAATATATAGATAGACCTTTATTGTTATTTTGTGTGTCTGTGTCTGTGAAAGTTGAGTGCAAAAATTCAGATCCTGTATTTTGTAAATTTAGATGCTTGTTTGTTAGTTTTGTCAAGTGAATTAGGTGGGGAAGTCAACAAAGATTGATCCAATCAATGATAATGATATATTGATGTCTTAAAAAGTGTCGGTTGATGGGTTTCGTTGTTAAAGGGAATGCCTTATTCATGGTACTCTGTAGATATCATTATAAATGCTCTTAAAATTTTGAGATCTGTATGTCCTAACTCTAATTTTGTCTAAACTTTTGTAAATCAGAAGAAGATCATGAACATTACTGAGCACGCAAAAGTGGTTACTAGTTTCCTTGTAATGAATGAATAGATATATACTAACTCTGGCTGTTGACATGAGAGCTAATTTGACATTTAATTTAATTTTAAATATAATATTGTGGTCTACTTTGTTTTTTATATTTATCTATTTTTTCCAAGTTAGTCCTTATAATAATTACATATGTTAAAGATTTTGTCAAATAGTAATTCTAGCTAATACACATGATTAGTAATGATATTTTAGAAAAGACAATACCTATTTATTCCAAATAACTAATTTAACTAATTTTTTTAATATACTCAAATCAGTTAACTAACTCTTATATTAAGGACCGGAAATAGAATATGACAAGAAAGTTTGGCTTATTTGGATTCATTATTTTAACATATATAAAGGACCTATGATAAACAGACCGCAATAGCTTTGTAATTTAATAGCATGTAAGCTCCCTTGTGAATATGAGGTCATCCGTCACATGTGCCTATCCCTTCCAATGAAAAAAAAAATACTACCTCCAATCCTTAATATCATATTTAATTTGTCCAACGCTAGTATATGATAAGTGGCCTGGATAGGAAGGTTAGCTCTTAATTAACATGAAAAAGTCTAGCTTTTGTAGAGTGTATGGTCCGAACAGTCCCTTTCTCTTCACATGTGATGTATATGGATAACCTAATTCATACGTTAGCCTAGCCAAATGATAAAACAGGTTTCTTGTGAAGTCAAAGAGTGTTATAAAAATATTTGAGAGTTACCTAAAATCATACTACCTCCGGTCCTAATTATAAGACCCAGTTGACTAATTTGGAGAGATTAAGGAACTTAGTTAAGTTAGTTATTTGTAATGAATAGGTGTTATTTTTCCTAAAATATCCTTACTAATCAAGTTTGTTATCTACAATTATCATTATTAAAGGACTATCTTGAAAAAAAATGGATAACTATAAGAGACAAAGTGGATTGGGGTCTTATATTTAGGACCAAAATAAAAGTCAAACGGAGTCTTATATTAAGGACCGGAGGTAGTATAATACTTGGATTTTTTGGACCCTTGGCATGCATCCCAAGACCCTAATCAAAGTGGGACCTGAGGAGATGAGCATTATGAATTTATCCTTATCTAATGACGTGGTTATGTGATACCACCTAAAGCTTAATATAGAACTGGTGGAAAAAAAAAAAAGAACTGAATAATTAGTTTGCGGATATTAAAAAAGTTATTTATAATATATGGATGTGATCTTCTCTAAATACTTTCATCAATCGTGTGTGTTAAAACAATCTTTTTGTAAAAACTCCTTAACATGTGTATTCTTTATAGATATTACTTGAGAGTAAAATAGATAAATATATAAGATAAAATAGATTGAGGTTTTATATTTAGAATTAAATTAAATTACCGACTAACTTTTATAGTACTCCTCCGGTCTTTAATATAAGACTCATTTAAAAATTGGATCTTATATTGAGGACCGGAAGAGTAATAATCAGTGGTAGTATGTCAATATGTATTATGAAATCTATTGAAAGTTGTATTATTCGCAAGTCATAAATGGCGCAACTCATTTAAAATTTTGTGCCAAACATAAAGCTCATAATAAGAGAGACAGTGTGTGTGTGTGTGTCTCTAAAACTTAGATTAATATTTCTTATACATGAAAACGATGTTTGACCTCGTTAGTTGAAGTAAGAGAGACGTCCTTGGGAAAACGCTTCCTCCATTTTAACTTATAAGATGTTTTTGGAATAAATTGTGAAGACTAAATGACCCTCACTAAATTTGATTAAAAATACCCCTCTTCTAACACCAACCTGTAATTAACTCATATTTGAGTAATGAAAAGTAATTCATAGGCATAGCAAAAAGGAGGGGGGAGGGGGAGGGGGAGGGAGAGAGTGGTGAAGTCAGTCAACCTGAGGGGTCCTCCTACTTTGCTCGTTTCTCTCTTGAGCTGACTATTCAATGAGATCGAAGAATAAAGCACAAGATAGGAAGAAATAACAAAATGGAAAATGCAAGAAAACTCTCATCATTATTTAATCTTGCCATACTTTCCATTTCTCGTTTTTTCTCTTTTACTTCTTTTTTTGGCCTACTCTTTTACTTGTTTGTTCGAATCTTAGAGATAGGCCATATATATTTGCAAATATTGGAGCTCTATTATTGTTTTCTAATCATTTAAAACTATCCAAAAACCCCAAATTTTTGGAAAACCATGATTTGGTGGTTTGAACCACCGTGGTTTTGAAAAAGGTCAAAAAAAATTTCGCTTCTAAGAGCTAAAAGCTAATGCTTGGAGTAATTATTATAGGTGTCGGAAGGATGGGATTGAAATTCCAAAGTTACAAGACATCAATGGTGACCTAATAACACGTGGACAAACAAGTGCATGGGTGAGTATGGAGGAATTCTAAATTTCAAAACTAATTTACGTTGTTTCATATTTTACAATAATCATTATATCATGGCATCTCACGTTTATAACCTTTAAAATATTCATTTTTCTAAAAACATATTTAATTTTATATTTTTCAAATATACATACACATACTAAAAATTAATTAATTATATTTTTCATATATCATTTATTATGTTGGCAAAAAAATTATTAGCAAATTTATTACTTCAAATAAAAATATAAATTAAAGCTTATCTTCTATGTAATTATCATATTAACTTATGTATTTTTTTGATAATTTACACATAAAAAAAGTATTTCTAATAATAACTATCCAAACACTCTCATTTCATCAAAACTATTTTTTTCTCAGAAGTTATTCTTTCAAAATCTATTCTCAAAATCACTTTTTTTTTTTTTTTCAAGAAGCTATTCTTTAAATTTTAGTTTAGATTTATTCAAACACCCCAAGTTGCCCGTTTTGGTAATTATTGTGGATTTGGGCCTTCCGGGCCAGACGGACCAAAACGCTGGACAAGTTTCTTGGGCCAACCGAGCCCATCATAGGTACTGTGTCTTGTTTTCGGCCCAAAAATTACTCAGAGTACTGTTTCTGTGTGAGTTCTTTTCTTTTTTCCCCCAAAAGTGTCATTGATGATAGATCGATGGGGATGATATGATCTTCTTATAGTCATTAATGTTTGAATTAATTAGTCTAATTATGAATTAAAGCTGTCAAGTTCGTTGGATTAAATTAATTAATCCTCTGGTTTTCCCTTCTAATCCGTAGCATCACATCATCAGTAACATAATTATATACTACTGCTGAATTATCCCTAATCCACTTGTATAATGACCTAATCCATTGACAAATTCGTCATTACCCCATCAGAGATCTTCTATATCTAATCATCCAAACTTTTGAAAAATTAAGTCAAAAGATATGAACAGTTATTAATTATTTTTAAATAGCAATAAAATCAGTATCAAATTATTTTTTTTAAAAGAAAAACCCTGCCCTTAGATTATTAAAAAAGTTACCATCACAGTATATTTCAAAATTATAATATTTAAATTTCAGGTAATAATTTACTGAAAACGCAGCAAAATTTTCTATTTAACTTTAGTTTTTCCTGCATAATTATATTGAGTATAATCAAGTACTAATTAAATAGTGAGAATTATTATGATTTGTACAAATTTTAATTAACTAGAATTGTTTAAACTTTGGTTATCTAGAAACAATTTTCCCAGATACTTTTTTTTTAAGTTTTTACATTATTCATCCGTCCCACGCATCACGTGTTGGGACAACTACCATTCAAAATAATTCAGCATGGATGCGTGACGGGCTCATTACAGGCACGTCATTTAATTTCGTTTCAAAGTTTGTGATTGTAACCTCAAATTATTATTTATTGCAAGAAAAATTACTTATAAGCCGTCATTAATTAGGCCAAAGATAATACTTTATTGGTGTAGTGTTTAGAAATCCCAAAAAAATTAACAACGTAATTGAGTTGAAATCTATATATACTATTTTGATTCTTAATATAAGAGCTAGTTTGACATTTCATTTGGTTCCAAATATAAAACCTTAATTCACTTTATCTTTATATTTATCCCTTTTTTTAAAGATAGTCCTTATAGCAGTTGTATATGTTAAATGTTTTATCAAATAATATTTAAACTAATATATATGATTAACAAGGGTATTTTAGGAAAGATAACATCTATTTATTATAAATAACTGATTTAACTCATTTTTTTAATCTACTCAAATTAGTCAATTAGATCTTATATTAAGGATCGAAAGTAGTATTAATTAGTACTCCTCTGGTCCCAAATATAAGTATTTACACTACAAAGTGGGTTTTATATTTAGAACCAGATGAGTAAGATATTTCATTGTTATTTTGTTTGAGTTGCTTTGAATATTTTCTGTTTTTTTTCCTGGGCAAATGAGTTGTTTAATGAACAAAACACATGCTGAACCAAATTGATAATTTGAATTTAAATTTTTTGACTAATAAGATAGGAAAGTAAAACTTTTTTTAAAAAAAAAACCAGAAATAAGTAAGTAATCAAAACGACAAGAGATTATATATGTTTGCTTTTGTCAAAGAAGACTTTGTGCAAGAATTGACGTGATTTGGAATTTTGACTAATAAGATAGGAAAGTAAAACTTTTTTTTCCAAATGATGTATGACAAAGAGTCGTTTACGTATTTGAGAGGATTAATTAGTGTATTCCAAGCTTGATTGCATTACAAATTATTCTACAAATTAAAGTTATGAATGATGCATGCAATTTGATTACTGATATACATCTGTACATTTTCCAAAAAAAATATTGTTTGAAAAGTGGAAATTTTCTCCTCCAGATATATACCATTGATTTAATAATTGGTATATGACTAGCTCATATAATATACTACCGTCCTTACTATAAGATCCTGTTTGACTTTTATTTTGGTCCTAAATATATAACCCCAATCTACTTTGTCTCTGATATTTATACATTTTTTTCAAAGTA